GGGGAAGCAACCGTTGCTCTTCACATACACGGACGACGGACGTGATAAACATTTGATTGGAGAAGCGTTGGCAGCGAAGAGGGCACGTAGGGCATCCAACAGGAGGAAGAAGGGTAAGACGCGCAAAATCTGCAGGAGGCACTCGATGTACGTGAACTTCGCAGACTTCGGTTGGGACAGTTGGATCTTAAAACCAGATGGTTACGATGCCTTTTATTGCCACGGGGAATGCAGTTTCCCTCTGGCAGGGCACCTTAATACGACGAACCACGCAATTGTGCAGTCCCTCGTTCATTCCGTGAACCCCCGCAATGCTACCAATCCGTGCTGCGTTCCAACGGAGTTGAACAGCATGTCCATGCTCTACTTGGAAGACGAAGGAAGCCTGGTGCTCAAAAACTACAAGGAAATGACAGTCCTCGGCTGCGGGTGTCGGTAGTGCACAGTTTATTTATTCCGCGTCTGTGATCTGACTTTTTAAGGAGGCTACTGTAGTTTAAGGATTGATCCCCGCGCGGCTCAACGATACAAACAAAAGCAACCCTCCCGTTGAGATGAAAAGTGCATACTCGATTATAATATAATAATGTATGTAAAAAAGCAACAAGAAAAGAAAAAAAAAACAATTAAATTATTCCTAAATTATTAAAAATCGGAGCCGCCGACCGAATAATAACTGACTTGAACGTCTGACGTTATCCTCATCTGTGATTGTAATTTTAACTAATTAGACCTTATATATAAATAAAATATATATGTATAAAATTATTGTATTATGTACACTAAGAATCACATTTATTTGCATATCACAATATGCTAATGGCATTTAGAATGTTTCTTTTCAGGCGCGCACTAGATGTTGAAATACAGATCGAAATATCCGTACAGTCGAATACACATATATTACTAATGCTACTTCTAATACTTGTTTTTCGCATTATAATTGTTTTTTTTTAATGAACAGATATAGTGTTTGGTAAATATATACTTTGAAGAAGTTTGTGGGTATTTTAATAGAAAAATTAGTACACAAAATTAATTTTGCATATATTTTGTTCCTTAATTATTATTTACTTTTCACTAAATATTTTTGTTAAGAGAATATTTGGTAAATTTATAATAATAATAATAATATAGACCTAAGTCTTTTCGACCAGTAAATTTGTATTGAAGCTATTTTCAAGTAATTTTTATAAATATGTACGAAATACTATATATAATTGACATTTTTTATTTGGAGGGATCTCAATTAAAGTTATATGTAAAGTGTCGAAAACGAGTCTCGAAATTGATGTGATTTTCGATCGAAATAAACTTCCTTGGAATTGTCATGTTCATTGCAGGAAATAGAAATAAGAATTTTCCAATGAATTTCGGTGAGCGCTGACCGCGTCCTCGTGTTTGCGCGAGTCGTAGACAGCGTGGCGCGCGTGCAACTTAGTACAATTGTGTATCAAGATTAAAGTTACCAAAACGGACACAACATCAAGACCAAACTTGAACTTTACACAATCAGTCCACTTCGACAAATTGTTATTGATATATACACTACATCCCAACATCAACAAACAACATTAACAGAGCATCACGATATTATTATTACTTATTCGCTCAAGCAAAACTCCAACTCGAAATACACACTCTTCTCTTGCAATGATATTTCTTCTCAAATTCTGCACAAAATTTCTGGTAATGTTGTAATATCACGCAAAAGGTGCAATTTCAATTGAATGTTATTCCGAATAGGATCCGAAAAGACAATTTTAATTACACCAGCGGCGCGCGTTCTCCGAAATTGAAAAGTAATAATAATGATGATGATGAAGATCATAATAACAACAAAAATATTAAAGACCACATTCTTGTGCTTCTTGTAGTCTTTGTCCAAATGCGCACTTTCACATTATTAACGCACTTAAATCCGTATTTAAAGGCCCGAAATTTCTACCGAGATAATTGCATTCAAATCATTTTATATTTAGAGAAACTAAACGAAGAACTAGGAATGGTCGATCTCCATAAATAATCACCAGATTATTCAGAATTCCTTTTTCATTGTTGCTGAATAATGAAATTGGTAATATTTGCTGTCTCATACAAATATACGCACTTAAAACAATCCATTTGACAGCAATTTCCAAAATCAAAATTATTTATTGACAAAATAACAATAAAATAATCGAAAGTTTTAAGCAATTTCTCCTTTCCAATTAATAGAAGTGTGAAGTCTGCGCTGTAGCCAGCCAGTGCTAGGAACCTCAATTATCCCTAATTACATTTATAGCAGAAATCGAGTGTTAATCAGGAAAGGAAACGAATAATACGTGTTGCACATAAATCAATATTTCCTATAAATATTAATATGAAATCCGATATGATTAATTATCAATTAAAATGGTAAAAAGGAAGTCGGCAATTAATATTGGAAAATCGGTGGAAACCATAAATTTTTCGAAACACAAAAAAAAAATATGACACAAGTTCCATCAAGAAAATGGGAAACTTATTACCTGATCGAGGATAATAGAGAGGTGGTCGGGCTCTTTCAGTCTGTTTCAGGTTTCAACAGATCTCTGTTCCGGTTTCTTAGCTGATTTAGGCGTTCAAATTTATAATTTTAATATACTTTTTCAAAACTTTCATCACAACCATTTCTTTTTTTTTCAAAATTCATTTCCCTAACCGTTAATTAATATTTTTTTTATTTATGCCCTGACATAAAATGAAATATGTGGATTTAGATTTTTTTATACATTAATAATGAAAATGTTTATGAAAATAATAACAATATGTTATATAAGTCGAGAGTTAGTTAGCCAATGAAATCCTTCAAACTGATTGATCTTATTAGGATGAAGCTATCACATCTGGTCTGAAAGAATGCACCGCAAAGAGGAGTATGGAATACGAAAAGAAGAAAAAAGGTATAGTATAGAATCATTATTTTGAAAATATTTAATCGTGTGAAAGATTAAAATGGTAGTAGTAGATCATAAAAGCGAAAGCAATTTGAAACCTGCTATAGAAAAGGTTCAAGAAAATAAGTTCGATCGTAGCGCGAGGTACAATCATTTTCAATCACATTCCATATAATGTCAGTGACTTCATTATCGAGTGCATGCCAATAATTTCTTTAGCCACGAGCCACCTTTAATAGCGCCATTTGTCACTCGTAAATGCACTCGCAGGAATAATTTATGTTCGTCATTGTGAAGAAACTGAAATAATATCAGAATATGTTAGAATAATTCGCAATCAATGAATTGAAAATTAATAATCAGATTATTATTATTAATTTTCAATTCAATTCAATGCGAGATATATGTTCAGGTCAAATTATTGATAACGTATGGCATCAAAGTTTACCATCATATGTAAGTACAGGGAATTGCAAATGCACTTTTAGAGTACGGTTTTTAAAAGAAGTACGTTTCATGAAAAACCAGTATAAAACTGTCTAAAGGTTTACGGAATTCTAACAAATATTTATGAAAATTATATGTATTGGTAAGTTGGCAAAGTTATTTAAAAATTATGATAGAATATTTGTGAAAAAGTATACGGGCATGTATAATGATAGGTAATTGAATGTAAATAGTATAATAAAAGATAATTTGTTGTAGAGTAGACGTTTGGTGTTAAGTGTGAAGAATGGAAGTAATTGGTGTGTGTGTGGCTGGTACCAAGTAGTGATTGTCTATTGAGAGGCAGATTGTTAGTTTTGGCCGAAGATGATGATGGTTGTCATTGTTTGGA